GTTATCATTGGTGTAGCAGAAGATCGTGCTCGACAAAGCAAGAGGACGGTACAGGTCTGTTATTTTCAAGTTGTGGAAAAATAAAATAGATGTCAATTTTCTCTAATTCTCAGCGAAATTAAGGTCAAAAGAACAAAAAATGATTTTTCGCAAGTATTTTTGACCTGTAGTATACTCGCACAACATTTCATTATTGCCACTGTATTGTTTATAGTCTGCTAGACTGTAATCTAACATGTGCGATTGCAGACAATGTGCACATTCTCCTTCGATTCTTGGATTTCGCTGGCCATTTTGCGTACTTTTTCGGAAGTCAGTTAATGACTCCGTAGTGCTTGAAAAAGAATGGACAAGGAAAAAAGCAACGAAAAACTGCTCATTAGCACAATTTGGGCCGCGGCAAACCATGTTCTGGGATTTACGCGCAATGTGCTTGTTGTATGCAATCGCGCCAAAGGGCCGCCACAAGTTTTGATTATATCGTAACACAGTATTGTATACTGAAGGTTGTACAATCAAAGGCTACTGTCAGGAGGTTCGAGAATTTTGAGAAAATTTCTAATTTTGCAGGAAGAACTCGACGCAATTACGGAGAAACTCGCACAACTTGAAGCGCCAACGTTGAACACGGCTGCCAAAGCTGATGCGAACGGCGTCTACTCTCGACTAACGGATCACACCAAGTACACTGGCGCTCATAAGGAACGATTTGATGCTGAGGGTAAAGGTTAGAACCCGGTTCTGCTTCCAAGTAGTGAATTTAGGGCTAAAAGGTTAGTAAGAACACGCTGTGCAGCACGGAATTCGTTTGAAACTTGAAAAAATGTGGGAAACTGAAGGTAGTTCATACTTCATTCCACTTACAATGAGACATTTACCGATTAGCTCGTGCAAACGCCGCGCGCGTGCGCTAGCAAGTTACGACGCGTTTTGTCTCATTCGGGGTGTTCAAAAACAAGTATAAACTTGTTAGCTTGTGTGCCCCCGCACAAGTAGCCCATATAAGTGCACTTGGTATTATAATTTAATTTATAATCAATTTAAATGACAACCCTACCATGTAGAATTTTCTAAATGTATGTATTTGTTACCATTTTAGTTGGCAAAGATGCCAAAGTCAAATCTCGCAAGAGTATAATGACCATAATTGCCAACCAGTTCTCTTAGTTTACAGTTCCCTTCAACTCCTTGAAATCACTTCTAAAGCTTCGGCAATCTTCCAATCATGCCCATGTCAGGGACATTCTTCAGAACGCAGTTTTTCTGCTTTGGAATTGTTTTTATGTTTGCCTTTTCGAGCACGCAGTCATTTCAAATCAGTCATCGTTTGTTCACGTGAGGAACGGCGAAATAATGTCCGCTGTGTCCTATATGGACGGCGCAATTTATGTGTCATGGAATGCTCGTTTTGAATGGCACACAGTTCGTGGAAAAGGGGTTTGCCGCTAGGAGAACAAATCCTTCTTCGTTCAAAAAAGAGATTTTTTCAAGAGTTTTAGCAGACTTATATAAAAGCGTATCTATGCTTACCTTTGCTAGCGGGAAGTATCCATGTAATGGCTGGAATCCCTCATGACATGCGCGAACTTGGAAAAGAATCGAGAAGGACCCTAAAGTCAGAAAATTATGAAAGATAAAAACAATGAAATGGTTTGTCAGTTGGAAAGGAACTGCGATTGAATTTGAGCGATTTACAAATTTCTAAGATAGACTGTATTCAGTAATTATGCTGCTAGATTTTTGGACATGTACGGCCGATGCAACTCCCAGCACGCTGCGATAACTTATTTAA